GTCCCGCAGACTCCAGATGCATGTTCTAGAGACACACTCTGCAGATTTAGACATACAAAACTGCTGTTTCTCGCTTACGTACCAGTTGCTGGAGAAGATGAAGCCGGAGCCAGCTTTACCGAAAGACCTGGGCGAGGTTCTCGAGGAACTTGCTCACAGGCGCGATGACTTCATTCAGAGGCTGCAGTTATCTCGATCAAAAGGAAAAGATGTGCTGAACGCTATTCTGAATGGTGGAACGCCATCAGAAGATCTAAAAGAAAATGAGGATGTCAGGAAGCTGCAGAGAATTTCATTATACTTGCGCTGGGTTGCATGTAACATTCTTCACGAGGACTACATGAGCTTGAAGGATCAGAAGGGCAAGAATTTTCCTTCGGCGACAATTTTTTCTTTGTTGTGGCACGCGGTGGAAGATCGAATTCTTCAGTGCTGGTCAGAGCACGTCCTCGTCGTGGATCCAAAGCCGGCACACCTGTCCTTGCATTTCGATGGCCTTAGAATATCGAGAGCATGGACTGCAGACATCCAGAAGTTTTGTGCCTCGAGTGAAAGCATTATCGAACAACAAACAGGCTTCAAAGTGAAGATCGTGGAGAAGAAACCCCTGGATTTTTTGTCCGCGATACAGCGCGCGTCAGAAGAAGTTCCTGCGTTAGAATCTCTTCCGGATGTATGTCTTCGTCGAGGCAATTGCATACCATGTGCTCTTTGGCATACGACACCTCTGCTGCGAGCTGTCATTGCAGCGTCTCTTCAAAATAGCGAAGTCGCGGAAAACACTGAGGCGGAAGACGCAGGCTTCAGATGCTATCGCAGCGCCAGCAAGCTTTATCAAGTTGATCTCGCCTGCAGCCTGGGTCTGCCGCCCAAAGGAGTCAGTGCATTTCTGCTTCATTTTGAAGGCGCCGGAGCTCCGCATTGTGTCGCAGTTGATATGGCTTCAGACGAGACAGCGATCACAGTTCGTGACGGCCGACGTGGCTTCCGACTTTCTCGGAGCTCTTTCCACGAAGCCTTCGGTTCGGCTGTGGACTCTCGAACTATTGTGTGTTACTGGCCAAGACGATGCAATGAAGACATCCCTGCAGAAGCCTTGCTGCTCTTAGACATGCAGGCCGGTGCGACGTCGGACACATCGGACGACGAAGGAAACACACTGTTTTCCTTGTCCCCATCGAGGATCGAGTTTGACTCCGAAGACCGCCCATTTGTGTCGGACAATATTTTACATTGTCTGGAGACAGAAGTCAAAGAGGTAAGCAGCAATCTGGCAGCTCGCGCGAAAACAAACAACGGAAGACGAACATGTCCCTTCTGTCCCTTTCGATCGTTTAGCCGACTTTCATCCCTGAGAACCCATATCACCAAACATCATCGCTTCGAACGTCAGTTCATTCCTTCAGGAAGCAAGCAAGTAAAGGTTGTGCTGGCACTGTACAATCACGCTGCGTCGTCGCAATGTCGAGCAGAAGCACTTCTTCAGGAAAGCGCATGCATACTGCGGAATACTGTGGTGCCGCCGCTCTCAGCGTCTATCACTCACATCGACAAGCACATCCGACTGGTCTTCGATCGCACTGGCCCGATGTATGTCAATGTGAGTGCAGTTGGCGACTCGCTTCATGTGCGACGTGCTCGCAATCTGTATTACACACACACCTTCGCGGATCTCTTGCTGCAGGAGATGACGATGACTCATGCTCAAGAGCTTTAAGCTGCCTTAGCATTGTTTCTTTTGTATCTTAGTAGATACGCTCATAGAATACTGATGTTATTGTCTAAGCAAGGTGCGAAGCATATGGCCTCGCTGTCACATGGCAGCGCACCAGGCCGGTAACAAGCTGTCCACTTTGCTGCCGGCCGACGTCAAGCACTGGCTACCCATGCTCGAGGACATCACTATATCACCTTCCTTCACGACAAGAATGAGTGTCATGACTGCTCATCTCGAAGCAGAGCATGAGTGGACATACATTAGCCTGGACGCCACGCTGAAAATATGCCTGAAGCTGAAGGGCCAGACATCGTACCGGGCCTCCGCGTCGGCTCGCAACGACGCCCCTTTCGGGGATCAGCTTGCGTGGAGACGCTTGCTAACGGTAAGGGGTCGTTCGGGAGCTGTTCTACTTCTTCAGCCTTTACAGACAGAGAAGTCAGAGCACGTGCTGGAAGCCTTGCAAGAAACTTTCACAGAGCGACAGCTCAGTTGTGTTGAGTATATAGCGACTGATAGTCCATCTGCAAAATTCTACTCGCTTGCAAAGTACACGTGCCCGAACTTAAAAGGCATGATGCTGGACCCTATTCATCTGGCGATTGTCTACGAGTATGGGCACTGGAACAAGCGCACGCCCGGATCGAAAACTCTGCGAGGCATCCTGAAGAAAACCTGCGCAGTCGACGATTCCGTGCGTCTGAGGCTGCAGATGACCTTGTACGACGGCGACATGTCCAGACCTTTAGATGAAGCAGAAGCAAAGTATAGGGACATGATTTTGTCGATGGATATGCCTGCCGAAGAAACAAATGCAGTCCTGGGAGGAATGGATTGCGAGACGCCGCTGCGCAGTAGACTGGAGTTCATCCAAGGGGTTGCTGCCGTCTGTTCGCGATACTCGCGTGAGGTCGCGCGCAAAGCGGCAGGACCCAACAAGGAAATCTACAAGATCCTGTTTGCTGCGTGCGCGCCGGATAGGCTGGAATGGTTGCTAAACAATGTTCGAGTGCGTCGTGCATTACCTAGACAGCAGCTGCATTTCTTGCCCAGCGGGACTTCTGGCAATGAGGCCCTGCACGCGGAGATTAATTCGTGGTCGAGAAGCACGAACACGCTTCATCGCTCCACTTTAGCATTGAAGCTCCGATACTATCGTTACATAAAAGTGTCTGCTCATTACCTTGCCACGCACTTTCCTTTGGCACACATTGTGTCAGAGACTGTGTTGTTAAGCAAAGCGGCTAGTAATTCCATTTGGTCGGATGATGATTGGATGACGTGGTGCTCCGAACAAAACACTTCTGGCAGACAGAAGAAGGCCGATTTGCCTCTTGTCAAAGCTCGTCAAAATGAAGCTGCTTTGGTGAGAGCTTGGGTCAAAAAGCGACCAGCTGCCCAAGGCAGTAAGGTCCGCAAGGTGAAAAGAACTCCTCTTCGGGTCATCCGGCACCACACATTGCGTAGCTCTGGTGTGAAGAGTAAGTCGTAAGCTATGACTTACAGTCGCGGACTTGATCTTCCCGCGGCAGGATTCCTGCGTGCGCAAATAAAAAGAGACTTACATGTTGCTGTGCTGGTTTATAACAAGAACAGCAAGCTTGCGTCACAGTCATGCGTGCTAAGGAAATGGTTGTATTACTCTTACGCGCCACGTGAACGTGGTGCAATCATCATAACAGCGGAAACACCAATGATACGTTTTTTTTCCAGCTTGAAATTGATTTATTTTCTGTCTAACAACATGAATGGTTCAAGTAATGAAAATCTGCTAGTCAGTAGTAGACAACATTCGCAACTGATTTTTTCTGCTGGTTGAGGTGTTAATAGCATTAATGAAAGCTTGCAATAATTTTCCAGCGTCGTGCGAAAATTCAATCTATATACATGGACATATATTCCTTAGTCTCGGCATGCGTCGCAGAGATACCGTTCATCTCTCATCGTACACGTGTGAACTTATCCAAATAAAAGCAATTAATTCGAGCCGAGGATACGAGCATACTGCGAGCCACTATGTCTTCATTATATTCGGAGTGCGCCGCGCCGCCTCCCACTAATGTGTAATCTCGTTATTGTGTTACTTGTGTAAACAAAATCAATCAATGCATGCCGAGAATACGAGAATACTGTGAGCAGATATCTCTTCATTTTTCCCGGAGTACGCACCGCCACATCCCGCCTTGCCGCGTTGCTACGTTTTGTTTTTATTTCTTAAATTAGTATCTTCATCACGTTTTCAACAGTGTACTTTCGTGTTATTGAAGTAACTGCAATGATTTGCATATTTCGGTCTTATAGTTCTATATATTTATTTATTTATTGATGCGAGGCGTTTATGTTATTCACGCACACAGTACTCGTATATTTTTACTTGTTTTCTTAATTATGTTGCGTAGACGTTTTGATAATAAATACTGACTACCTACTCTACGTAGCCCAAAAAAATACATTAATAATAACCACCTCAGAACGAAGCATGTAACTGCGGTCTTGTTTTCTTACTTAAAGACTAGTAGTGTTTTATGTTTTTTGTCTACACCATGTTCCGAGCTTGGGCGGGCTTGCGTGTATATGTATCATACTAAATACTTTGCGCTGGCAATGTTTTAGTTCAAGTCTTATCCAAAACTCGACTTGCAAAAACTTTTTTCTTGCCCACCCACCTGTTTGACAGCAAAAAAAAAAGGTAGATATGTGCGTCGTCTCGTCCCTGTGCATATTCTTACACATATAATAATATTTATATATGTATTTAGACTAGGTCTTTGTTGTAGTAAAGGAAAGCACAAGACAAAATAGACCTTAAAGGTTGCGGGCTCATATATATATACAGATAGATACACTTACAAAGACTGGTGCACACAGGATCTTTGTTTGTCACATTTTTGAGACAACGTACACATCGAAGCCTTGATACTCCCAACATGTCTTCATGCCCCTGCTCAGAACCTCAAAATGAGGATACAAAAGCAAAGACCTTGGATTTTATGTGCAGTCTTGTCAGGGCAAACATCGACTTTTAACCTCGCAGAGTGGAATCCCGACCTAATTTGGCCACGCTCCTCCAACATCCTCTAAGCAGGTCTAGGCAGTCTCAGTTTGCGTTCATTGCTCTCCTGTTGGTGCACAGCACAGCGAAAGGCTCATGTGATCTCTGACAACCTATGCCATAGCAACAGATTCGTGTTGGATTCGGTACAATTGTGTACCAGTGTGTACCCTATCATTCTCTTGAGACTTCCAACGGGAGAGCTCCGGTGTACAAAACATTTGAGGTGTATTACTGCAGTGCACACCTCGAATTGGATGCTCGGCGCGTCTCTGGGACCACAGGCTGCGGCCTAATTTCCTTTGCAAGGACATCAAAAATTGCATAGTCTATGGCTTCTCCAACACCGGTGCCTTCCTTGGCAGAGGTTTCGAAGTAAGTCATTCCATTCTCGCGAGCGTATTGCTCTGCTTCTTTTCGAGAGATCTTTCTGCACTCCACAAGGTCGGCCTTGTTCCCGATCAGCAACTTTGTGGGAATGGCCTGAGCTTCCGGAAAGCGAAGCCAATCGGTGATGTCAAGAAGGGATCTTGGGTTCGTCAAGTCGAGGACCAAGAGAATGGCCTCTTTCCTGCGGAAATAGACCGATGTTATTGTTCGGAAACGCTCCTTCCCTGCAGGCTGATCCCAAAGCATAACTTTCACTGGGACATCGTGGGCCATCACCCTCGCAACCTGGAAGTCAATCCCTATGGAGTGCATCATCGTGCGATCATTGAATGTATCATGGCAATACCTGTAGAGGAGGCTTGTTTTGCCAGCCCTGTGCTCTCCAAAGAGTCCAAGATGCATGGTTCGGCATGCTTCTGGTAGAGACGCCTTTCGCTCTGTGCGCCAGGACTGCACGACTTGCTGCATCTCCAGGAGTGCTGGAGCTTGCACGCCAAGCTGGCACAGAACTTCGGACTCTTCAAGCGACCGTCCTTTAAACACTAAAACCCTCTTCAAAGATGGGTTTTCGGATTCGTGCGGCACAGCTTCCAGGATGTCTTCAACTCGAGCAGTTTCAGGCAGCTGAACTTCACCGATGAGCTTGCCAGACAGCTGTTGCACCCGAACGCTGTACTCGTACTTCCGCGCCATGGACGATCTTGGACTCACCTCACCTGAGCCTGGGCCTCGCCAGGCTTTGCAGGTGAAAGGCTGAGCTACGGCAACTTGAGAGTTTGTCACCACATGTGTCCACAAAGAAGCAAGACAAGTTGCGGAATCTCGCTGTGGCACAGGGCACTTAGCCACCAGAAGGCTGATCAACTTGGCCTTGAGCTCCGCTGCTCTCTTTGCCCTCTTTCTGCGCACCTGTAGCAGCTTGCGCCCTGTGACTGCTCAGTGGACGCTGTCAAGCTGTCAAGGTCCACATAAATGAATGAATCGAGATGACACGAGAAGCCAATACAATTTGCACAAAAGTGCTGAGCAATCGAGTAACTCCAATCAGTACCTGTCACCGTGGCATTGTCTGGGTGGCCAGCCCCGCCCTCCGGCAGCAAAGCCAGCAGGTGCTTCACGCCGGCCTCCGCGTTCAGAGTTCTTGCAGATCAACCCCAGCTGAGTGTTGCGAGGGATCAACCAAAGTCAAAAAAGGATCAAACAAAATCAAGCCCCCAGGCTCCAAACATTGTAATGCACAGCCTCCTGTCTGCTGACTACTGCTGACCATCAAACACAGCCATACGGTGAATGCCAGCATTTCTGCCCATTTGCTAGCTGCGAACACGGTGCATTACAGCGTTTCTGCCTATTTACAGGCTTCAAGTCGACTCTGATCTCGACGGGCCTCTCGACGCGAACTGATCCTTGCCACCTGACAGCAAAGGCCAAACATTTTCTTACTTGACTTCCGATGCTGGCTTCTTAAGCGTTCCGAAGCATCGGATGTTGCAAGAGCTCTTTCCCTCGCGCTGTAGCAGGTCAGCAGAAGCCAAATCGTAGATGTTGATGCGATGGGCAGCACCACCATCTGCGACCTGATGCAACTAGATGGTTTGGTTGCCGAGTTGAGATGGGTGGCGTTTACTCCTCGAGCTTCACATGCATGTATCCCGACACAACCCCCCTTTATTCCCCAAACAGTCTATTGTTGAGGTTCTACATTCATTTAAGGATTGCTGACATTCTGACAACAGCTGGCGGGTGCCTGGGCTCCTTGTCTCCCTTTGTCTCCCTTTGTCTGCCTTTGTCTCCCGTCATGTGGGTGGCTTTGCCGGGTTGCTGTACTCCTCGCCTCCCTGTGTCTCTCTTCGTCTCCCTTTGTCTCCCGTCGTCTCCACTGTTTCCCTTTGACTGTTTGGGGTCTTCGGTGGTGTAATTTCTTTCTTTCTTGGGGGCCCTCAAACCATCACCCTTCATTCCTTGCTTCCCTTCCTTCCTTCCTCTGCACAGAGTCCCCCAGGAGACTGCCCGGGAGGGCAGTGCTCTGCCGGTTCGGTCCGTTTGTGGGACAAGTCGATGTGTCGGTTGGAGGTGGGGTACAAAACGCCGTAACACCATATCACACCACACGACTCCCGAAGTTCCTCGCTTGTTTCTGGGCCTTTGCCCCGACTTATGTGTGCGCTTCCGGAAAGATTGCAGCAGTACTGTGGAGTTAGCAGACGACTCAACTTCGCTCGGGATTCACTGGCCTACTCTCCCACTGGGTTCTGTGCAGCAGGCTCTTACTGTCTTACCGCCATGTACAAGTTTCCTTTCAGGAACCAGACGGCATGGAGGATTCTCGGGTTGCGCATCAACCTCTCTCTCTTTCTTTCTGTCCTTCTTTCTTTCTTGCGGCCAGGGGGTCAAGCCCCCGCGCAGTCGCACGCCCTCGCGTTTGGAGGCTTGTGGCGAGGTGGGGTTGGACCCCAATCCCATTTAGGACGTGACAAACCGCATCCCCGGCTCTCTCTCCCTCTCTCTCCCCCTCCCGTCCTTCATTGAAAAAATCCCCCGTGTGAACACACACACACACACATCCAAAACCCCCGGTTGTCGCGGACCGCGCGCGAAACCATCTGCTACAGACCTATGCAAACGCCCGTCTTGATACAGACCTCTGTCGCGCGCATGCACGACTGGAAGCCAAAAGGGGAAACAAGACAACAACAAGCAGGTCTGTCGCAAAACCCCGGGCATTGATGCATGCCCTATGTAACGGGGTATGTCGCGTGTGTGGGCCACGACCCTGTTACAAGCAATTAATATTGGCACACGGCCATATGGGGCTCGAGCCGCATTACCAGGTGGCTTCATGACATGGTCCGGCTGCGAGTCTTAGTCGTTGGCAGGAGGCAGCGCCGTGTAGCGCAGCTGCAGCGCGATTCCTTCATCCTTGCAGAAGTTCCTCGGTGATTCGCCAGGTTGCAGCTGCAAATGCACAGATCTGAGTTGCATCAGAAAACTGCACGCCTCGAGGCAAGCGAGCTCACCCATTCCATTCCCTCCCCCGTCCTGCCAATATTTAAATTCAAAATTTAAACGATGGAAATGAGGCAAGCACTTCGGGAGGCTGTTCAACGATGCGCGCCTACAAGCGGCTGCAGTTGACTGTCGCAGTAAGCTATCGGTGCCTTGCTTTGATTGTCAACATCTCTCCTGCACGTTGCGTTGTCTTCGCAAGAAGTCCTTGTTTCGATACACAAACGACCCTTGACTAAAGGTAGCAATTCTGCACGGTAAGAATGCAAGTGTGCACCAGATTTTTGACAAAATCGGAAGTAAACGCATAAGAAAGTAGAAGTGTTCTCCACCGACTGTGTCTTGTTCAAGATCAACCCACAACACAAGGAACAAATCTGCATTATGCATTTGTCCAACGACGACCATGTGTTTTGGAGACAGCGATTTGCTACAAATTGCAAGGAGCTTGCGTTTCCACAACGGAACCGGCCGTTTGGACAAATGCGCAGCTTTCTCTTGGAAAGACATTGGAAGGGACATGTCGCTGTCGTCTTACCATGTTGCCGCATGGCGACTCATAAGATTTGCAGCCCAGGGTCTCAAATGTTTCCTCGCCCAAATCTGGCCGTTGAACAACTGCCTTGGCTGACAGCTTGATTTCAGCCGCAAGCCAGCAGCACTCGCAGCCAGCTGGCAACTTGGGGCCTTTTTTGCGTCTAAGACGTACTTCCGCCATATGCCACCGGCTGGCCTCTTTTGTCCGCAAACTCTCTCAGCTGCAAATTGCGCTTGCAACGCAAAGACCACTTTTTTGACCGACCATGCAAAAGTGCAACTCATTAATTGGCAAGGCCGACTGAGGCCCTGATCACTAATTGGACCCAGAAGAAGGTATTAGACATCATAGCGGACAAAATAATTTCAGCAGGACTGGGTAGCCGAACCGTCGCCCAGTCCGCCCAGTGCTGCTATGTCGGTTACGCGCCTGCACGCCAACGCTGCCAGCTCCTCACCGTGCTCACACCATGAGGAGACTCACTCGAATTCGCCAACTGGCAGCACACGCTGCGTTGGCATATACGATCATATACGCCATTTGCACAGCAAAAACAAACCGAAGTGCTTGGAAATGCTACGCAACGCAATGGCACCGAGACATGCGCACCAGGATTTGAGGACTGGCGCTTTGGACTTGAATCGGTACAAAGGGGCCCCACCCCGCTCAAGGAGTTGCATGCGGCTGAAACTGATGAAGCTGATGAAGCTTGCTGTGTCTCATCCCCGTCTCATCCGTCTCGCTGGACCTTGCCCAGGGACTGCAGGGATTGCGACATTGCCTGCAGACCAGCACTGCGCGAATCAAAGATGTTTCTCATTCAGCCGGAGCAGTTCTGACATCCCCGTTCTACATTTACTACATTGCTCGTTACATGCTCGGCCCAGCACCTTCTCAATGTCATCTGACTTCATCGAGGATTGCTGGCGGAGGAGCTGAGGCTTCTTTTTGTCCTTTGCAGCCTTGGTACGCTGCAAGCTATTGCAAGCTGCATTCCACCACATTTTGAGCTCAAGTTGAAGCTCTCTTTGAGTTATCTTTGCCCAACGTCTTTCAGGATGAGTGGTTGCCGCCATGGTGCTGGTGACTTCGACGGTGATGTTCGCCCTTGAGCATGTGGCGCATGGCTGACGAGCATTGCGTTCAAAGACTCGGTGCCCAGGCCACTTCGACCTCTGAGCATTGCAGGTTCGATCGGGTCTGAGGGCGACTGCTCTTGTGCTACAGTACTGTTACAATCCAAGCCGCACATCAGGTCCATCAACCGGGTCACTTCCTGTACTGCCGTGATGCCTGCCAGTGCTACAATTTTCCTGGACTTTGGCCGCTCCTCCGTGTTTGCAACTCTTGCCCTGCATCTTCTTTTCTGGGTTTGGATACGTGTGGGGCACAGTGCACCTTTGCCTAGCCCAAGCTAGTTGCAAGCCTTCTTGCCGCGGTGTGCGACTCTGTGCAAATTTCACATGGCTTCGCGGCTTTGCTTCCTTGCAGCCTTCCTGTTTTTCTCTTTGCTAGCTTGTGTCTGTTCAGTTTTGGCATCGCCCTCAGAAAAAGCCCTAGCTCCAGACCTGAGCCTATCCACACTAGAGTCTTCATGCGGAGTATGCCAGAAGCAGCAACCGGCCAGCTGTCCAGTGGGTTCATTGTTAAGATCAAGCATCTCTTGTTACAGTGGGGCCCAAAACGCTCAGTCCGCGATTCTGCTTTCTATTGTTGCCTGGCGAGTGCCAGGTCCACTACAGAGGCCCTGGCGAAAGGCTCTGGAAGAAAAGCTCTCATTTCAACTCTTGACAGGCTCAATGACGGGGAAAGTTTGAAACAACGCTTTGGATCAGGCAGGAAACATGCGCAGAGTCTTTGGCGTCGTGCCTTCGAGTTGCCAAAGCCAGGAGCTCTGTGGAATGCATGCGGTCAGCGACCCAGGAAGCATTTCCTGGAGGGCAACAAAACACTATCAGAGAGAGAGAGAAAGAGCCCTTCACCTTGTCGAAAGCCACCCCTGCCTGCAGATTGAATGTAGAGTCTTGCACTGCCAGGGTGGGTGTATGGCTGCCATATGCAAGCACAATGTCCTTGGCTGCGCAGGTTCAAGACGATTTTGAAGATCGTGATCCTACTTTAGAGGCCTTTAAAGGCCTTTGAGCCTTTGGGGGGGACGGGAAAGCCACTGCGTCGAGGCTGAGGATCGATGGAATGATCTGGGCGCCACGGCTGCATGTGCGAGAGCCTCAGTTCCATCGCGAGGCGTTCCAAAGCTCACTGGTCGTTCTCATCGCTCTCAACCCACAACAAGCAGACAGTCGCGAAGCTTCACGGCATCTGGGGCGGCTTCTGAAGTTTTTTGACAAGCTGAAATCTGCGGACCCTGGACTGACAGGGCGTCCGCGCAGTGAAACTTGCTTTTTGGCTCGCTATGGCAAGCATGCAGGCCTCATGCCAGACGTCGGGAAATGACGAAATGGGCGCTACGGGATGGGACGGTGACAACCCCCGTCATGCCTCGAGAGTTTCCCAGCCTCCCAACCTCCTACTTCCCAGCCTGGGGCGGGGCAGGCGAGGCTGAGGTGGAGGTGAGGTGGGAGAAGGGGTAGGAAGTGGGAAGTGGGGAGTAGGGAATCGGGAAATCGCATCGATACGCGGCAAAGTCGGATCAAAATATCCCTGCCTCGTGAAGCCGTGAATTTGGATTTGTGAGTTTTGTTGCCATGAATCACGCAGGTCATACCACGTAAGCTTGTTATCCTATCAAAACTGCGTCTGTGACCCCTAGACCCGGGATGGTGCGCCTGAGCCTGCAGCTCCTGCTGCCAAGTTTCCGCTGGGTCAGCTGGTTGAAGTTCCAGTGGACATGCGCGGACGACATCCTTACAAGCGCGACATTTATAAGCGTCATTCGATGCCATGCTGTATCAGTAGAACTGCTTTCGGTGCATATCTAGCCGCAAGTATTGCAGCGGCTCTTCGCAAGGACGCCTGACCCTTCAAGAACTCAATACTTCATGGATTCATGAAATATACGCTCCGATGTGCTTCTCTGGTATCGGTGTCGGACCACGAAGTTGGAAAAATCGATCACCACGCTGCCGCTACACCACAGACTTCCCGGCAAGACTCTGCCAGAAGCTATCCGATGCCGTTGCCAGACCGGCCTCGAACTCGTTGTACGGAAACCTGGGACAGGCCAGCCAGCTCCACCAAACGAGCAGCAATGCAACCCTCGAGTCGCTGTAGCTTGTGCAGACGCACGTATAGCAATTTGGCGCCAGAGCTCCGCCACTGTGCGCTTGTGGGATTCTGTGCCTTCAGCAGCGATGGGGCCTTGAACCGGTTTCAGACTCGAGGGAACAACAACATCAACAAGCTGCGGCTCACTCACGAGACCCATGACCGAACCAAGGCACCAAGATGAACTCACCACAAACCTTCACCATGCCCTTGATGTCCTTAGCTGCCAGAAGAAGGCACGACAAGTGTGCGTCACTGCATCAATCCACAGCAGGATCTTCAACCTTGAAAGTTCTGCTTCCTGCAAGCTCTGAACAGTTTGGAGCAGTGTGGGAGGATAAAAGCTAGGTGGAAGTATCCAGCTGGGAGCCTCAGTGTAGCTTGAAAGTTTTGAGCTGTATGTGTTATCTGGCTTAGATATGGCATTGAAAAAAGTCTCATCAAGAGTTCTTCACTCCCGGAATGCCGTCACCCTCGTCTGGCGAATTCACTGTTCTGGGGTTTCTCGGAGACGCCAGGTTCTGTCTCGAAACTCTCCAACACACCGCGAGGCCACCTGCTTCACTTGCTTCCAAGTGTCCCTCTGCTCCGCCATCGTCTTGAGCGTCGATGCTCGATCGGCTAAGACCTTCAGGCTGAAACCCTGAGTTGGACCGTTGGAGGGCTAGGGCGGCTGGGTCGCATGATGACAGCAAACGGCACAGGCCTTGTGCGTGGAGGTTTTGACAAAGCCAAGCCTGCTCATCAGTTTAAACAGTTTGGTATTCTAGAAGCATGGGGCATGGGGCAGACCACGCTCAAAGGTCTGATCGGCGGTTCGCAGAAGCTGCAACTGAAACCACCTTTGAAAAGCTTGTCTACAACTTCTACAACTTCGACAAGCAGGTGCCTGAAGACCCAACTCGTGTTGATCACCAGGATATGCTTTAGGCGAGATTGCAGTTTCCAAAGCAGCGGGACTCCAAGTCCAAAGGTATTGTCCATCAAGATGAGCCTTGCAAGCAGTGCAGTCAGGTAGTGGCAACAACATGCACGAAGTCAACCTCAAACCTGACAGATTGCGTTCCCTTGCAAGGAACTTGTATGGCAACGGGAGCGTGTCGATCATGGTATACAGATCTGTGAAGAACGCTTGGCCCGTCGAGTCCAGGTCGTCCCCGGCATGGAGCAGCTCAGGATTCACCTTACGCACAGCGCGAAAGGGCGAAGCAGCTCAAAGCTACTTGAGACTTGAGACTACGTGAGACACATGAGTAGCTGGTACTGACTGCAGAGGAGTACAAAACGCTGCTGCCCAAAATACCCCCACCTATGTCGATAGGTCCGATAGGGTCTCAGTTCGCCATTATGGTCCGCACGCCCCCGGATGAGCACACACGCACACAGACAGACACACACACACACACACAGACAGACACACACACACACACACAGAGACACAGACAGACACACACATACACACACACCCACCCACCTACCCACCCACCCACCCACCCACCCACGCACGCACGCACGCACACAGGAAAAGACAAAAGACAAAAAGCAAAAAACAACTTTATTAACGTGAACGGGCGTCATCAATAGGCAAGGCTGCATCTCACAAGCGAGTCAAGAGCACACAGCCAATTGTACAATGTTTCGAAACCACTCCGGGTAACTGCTTCCGCAGTGATGCAGAAAATCCGGCGGTTGAGCCGATGTGCCTCAGCTTGCCACTGCCTGATATCATGGATCTGGTGGTCCATTCAGTTTACTGCGTACTGTCGGTCAGCATATGTCAGCCTGAAGTCAGCATGTATCCGCACGAGAAACGCCCCTCACCAAAGACAAGGGACCAATATTCTCATGGAAGGCTCTTG